AAACCAAAAAAGTTGATACTTCGACATTTGGTAGTTGGTATTATTATTATTTGTTTTTGTGGTACATTTATTTTTATGATAATATTTGTATTTGTTATCAAAACATAAAAAAAATTATTTTCCTTTTTTTATAAAGAGTAGGACGCTATCATTCAATGTTTTAAAATTGGATCGACCCAGTTAGTCAATCGGTTGGACCGCAACTTGGTGAAGAAAATGGGTCAACCATGAACATATTTTTGTCTATTTGTGATTGAGATTGAATTGGATGAGTTTACAAAAACTTAGGTCGAACCATTGACTCGGAACCTGGGTTAACCCAAACGATTATGCTTTTTAAAATGTTTAGACTTCTAAATTACCAAATTTCCAGCAAAAAAATTGTCACTCAAAACACCACTAGAAGCATCTAGGCATCTAGTCTAGGCCAATAACAACTCAAATACTTTGAAAAAACAATATATATATATATATATATATATATATATATATATATATATATATATATATATGCTTAGGTTATTGTGTAGATGTAAGATTGATTATGGACCAATCATTTTAGTTATTTTAAAAAAGTGATTAATACATATTATTGAATTAAAGATAAATGAAAATAACATCTAATTTCATGATAATGGTATTTTAGTCAATTAAAATAAAGTTAAAAAATAAAACTTGCATATTTTATGGAATAACTAATTCTCTAAACTTTAAAAATCTGATTTTTTTTATAATAATTCTATTAATTTGGAGATTGTAACAGAATGTGATTATGATTATCTTAAAAAAACATTTTATTCTGATGTTATCAATATTACTAAAATCATTAATTACATTCATTCTTAAAGAATACAACTATGAATATAAATTACATTTATTTGGAAATTGTTAATTATCATCACAACATTCTTAAAATTGTTATAAGAATCATCATCTTCTTCTTCTAACGACTTCATCTTCTACCGGAATCCAGAATACACTTGATCTTCTTCCAGAATCCAAAATGTCTTTGATCTTCTTTTCGAATCCAAAATACACTTGAGAATTTTTTTTTGCAAACTCATTTGATTCTAGAAAAAGTCCACATCACTTGGTCTTCTTTAAGAATCCTGAACAAGTGAACCAATTTGTTTGTAATTTGAAGACTAGAACTAACAAATTATTTATATACATATAAACACATTTTGATGGAAAACATTTATAACAAACATTCTGATAGAATACACTACATACCAACTGACAGAATATATGTGTCCATCCATAACTTGAGACATAGATCTTGCAATTGCTTATTACAGAAAAAGAAAACCATAAGAAGTTACTATAATTGAAAAAAAAGAGTACCTTAAGATAGTAACAAATTGAGGTCCTTCTTTTCCTTGATAAACTCGAAGAGTCCATTTGTCCATATTATCTTTTAACAATAACTTCAAATGGAGCTTTGTTCTTCACTTCCTTCACTGTTAAAGGACACAAATAATATGCCACATACAACAATAGCAACCAACAATGAAAATGAAACAAAAAATAAATAAAAATAAACAACTTATTTCACATATTTCACACGTATCCATAACCACATTTTATCCTTTCTTTTATTCCATCCCATTGTGTCATCGGACCACAATATACATATCTCCAAACATTTAGAGGGATAATATTATTTTATTCTCATATTAAAGGTAAAGATGAATTGGAACATACTCAATAGTTTCTATAGCATAACCACAAATCCATGTTTTACTAAATCGAGTAGGTAATTAATTTCTACATACATAGAACTATAAAGAGGCAAATAATATCATTTCAAGAATCTTTCAATTCAGGAAATTTGTATTCTAACTTCATGTTGCTGATAATGTGTAAAAAGGTACAAACAGAAACAGGGGAATGTTCTGTAAATGAATGGTATACAGTAATATGAAATACTATACAATCTAATCGTGTGATGTTCTTTACCTTCAATTAAGTTGAGAAAGAAATGAAATTAAATAGGCATCAATGATCAAATGACAGCAAGAGGAAAAGAACGTGCACCGGTGAATTTTCTTTTTGGCTGTCAGTGAACTGTGACTTTAGATCTTTTCCTTGCCTCACTGTAAAGAACTACTCCTATTATCGTCACCCCGAAACCGGAAATCCCCATTGCCGTCACCGGATTTTTGAAAATCAACGTTGAAATTGCGTCCAAAATTAGAAACTTGGACCTTATAGATTATAAGATCCCGCATAAAATACTGAAATTTGAGAAACAGATGGAGAATTAGGGTTTGATCGGGAGCGAATGTGGTTATGGTTAAAGGGGAAAAGGGACGGTAGATCTGAATAGAAGATAAAAGGAACTAATAAGAGATGAGAAGGATGTTGAAGGCGTCTCCGGCTAGGTGGAAGATGGGGAAGACAGCGGCAACAAAAGCAGCTCCGACGACGATATAAGATGAAGGAGATGAAGAGTCACCGATGATGATGAAGCACTCACCGGAAAAGCTCGAAACCGCCGCTCCCACCATGCATTTCCGACCAAACCACTGACATTCCTCTCCTTTCGAGTTATGCAACAAATCCCAGAGGATTTCTATGCCTTTTCTCGATCGGACAAGCGTGCGTCGACTTCTCATGAGGGGAATGGATTTAACGTGGTGATTTTAGGGAGACGGGGAAGAGGGAGATGTGAGGGGAATGACGATGGCGGGCGTTCGCTTTATCTCGCACTTCAACTTGCCGTGGTATATTTTATCTGTTTTGGAGCTAGGGTTAGGGAGGATCATCGACAATCAGTAATTTTGAATGAGATAGAATACAGTGAGTTGTTGATTGTTTTAAAAAGGGAGAAAACTAGGTCAAAGTAATTACCATAATTATAGGAGTGTATTTGTAGAAATAATTTATCAAATTACTAAATTACCCTCATTTAATTGTTTGATTATTTATTTATTTTTAAAATTTTGATTGGTCTACAATCAACCATACATCCACATAATAATTAGTTTAAGCACTCGAACCTAGCTCTCTCTCTCTCTCTCTCTCTCTCTATATATATATATATATATATATATATATATATATATATATATATATATATATATATATTAAAAAAACGAACATAACATGTATAAAAATAATATTTTTTAATATATGTAGGTATGTATAAAATGTATGAAAATTTTGAAAATCGGACCCAATTGTTGAACCGGTTGACCCGTGTGTCAGCTAAAAAATCTCTAAATATTATTAAAAGAGAACCATTAATTCACCACTAAAGCAATCGGGGCCCTTGATTGTATTTCAATCCTATGTTTTTTACCCTTAGATCAAATTGTTGACATCATCTTACCCAAATAAAAATTCAAACACAATTACATTTAATTATAGAATCTTTAATAATTATAGAATCTTTAAATTCATCAATTATGTTATCTATTGAAGCACATCATTCCATTTATATACGAGATATCAGTTTCTCTAATTAATATTGTTCCTAATTTAACTCCCTTATTTATAACATTTGGCTTTAAAATTCAAATTCGTTTAACTTTTTTTTTTGAAAAAACTCATTAAATAAGCATATCAATAATTTAGTTATTAACCTATAAAATCTAATCAGATCCCATTAAATCAACAAAATATTTTAGTGTCAAAATTAAGGTCAATATTATTCATAATTTATCTCCCAATATATCCCACATAAAATGAATCAATTTGAGATATTGGTTTGAATTTTAAAACTCATTAAATAAGCAAATCAATTAATTTAAAATTTTTAACCGGTATAACTGATATCTTCCTTTTTTTCCAAATGAATAGCCGAAAATCTCCAAGATGATATCTTAGGATCCCAATTTTTTTGGAAGATAATTATTTTTTTATTCAAAAACACCCTATATATACGATTACATTGAAGTTGTTATTCTTAGGATTTTGGATTGTGTCCTACGATTTACAGTGTTTTCTTCAGCGGTCTTCTTCTCCAATTCCTTTTACCAGGTTCTTTATTTACTTTGTTCTCCTTCTTCTTCTCCAATTTCTTGCATTTACTCTGTTCTTATTACATGTTATTACTGTATTCCTGTTGAGAGGTCATAAAAAAATTAATCAATCTACTTTAAATAGGGGTGTTCATACCGGATATCCGAAATTTCGGATGTCCGAAAATTTCGAAAACTAGATATTGATATCCGATTCCGTATCCGAAATTTCGGATATCCGAAATTTCGGATACAGAATCGGATATTAGTTTGGATATCCGAAAATGCAATCTTCCATATTTGTTTTTTTTCAAATGTGAGCAATATAAAAAAAGAACATTACATATTACTAATTCAAATGTTTAAATGACAAAATATAACATTCTAGTGTATTTGTTACCCTCATGAACTAAAAAACATCCAAAGTTTAAAGCACACAAACAAGATTCCAAAAAACAATTCAAAGTTTAAAACACACAATTAACTTTTCAAAATATTCATTCACTATTTCTAGCTTCCAGCAATGCAACAAACAACTAGCACTTCAACACCATTCCTAAAAAAATAAAAAGAAATAACATTAAAATTAAGACAAAAGTGACAGATTGAGAGTATCAGTAAATACTATAATTCAATGTTCATCAATGTAATATCATACAAGATACAACTCAACCCCTACAGCCCTACTTATTACTTAAGATTACCTTGATTCATGTATAATCTGGGCAGAAATTGAGTTTAATCAGATTCTGTAAACCTCCAATCTGATGGCAGGAAGTAAAAAAAAAATCAGATTAAGCGTTAATTTTTTTGACAACAGAATCGGGGTAGACAAATAGATACATTTTTAAATTCTTTTTAATGTATAGAAACTTTAATAAAATAATACCTCCAATGTTTTCAGCTAATTCATCAACTGTTTCATCAATTATGATACTGGGTTGCTCCACAGTTAAGTCATTCAAACCGGTGAATTAAAATAAAAAAGAAAACATTACAAATATAAATAAAAAATAAAACTTTGTGAATTTAATACTAACCTCCATCCTCTATTTTCTCTATTTCAAGCAATATGTCATCAACATTAATTGCATCATGAGAATCACACACCCAATCTTGTGTGCATACTAAGGCTTCCACCATTCTAGGAGTTAAAGATGTTCGAAAGCAATCAAGCACCCGTCCTCCTGTGCTAAAAGCCGACTCGAAGGCAACCGTAGAAACTGGAATAGCAAGCAAATCCCTGGCCATATTTTCAAGAACAGGATACCTACATTTTTGAATCTTCCACCATTTTAAAATGTCAAAGTTGGCATCCATAGCTTCACGGTCTTCCCCTAGATATTTGTCTAATTCTGTTTTCTTCAAAATGGTTTCAGAACTCCCCATAGCCATTTCAAAACGTTTAGTCATAAGTTCCTCAATATCCATGACTACCTCGTGCCCCCACATAGAACTAGGACTAGCTTTAGAAGTAGAAGATGACACCTCCTCATCCTTTTCTTTTTGAGGCATGGAAGCATTATAGAGATCAAACAAGACCCGCATGTTGGAATCCAGATTTGAAAGAAAAGTACACGCTTTCTTTTCTTCAAAGCTTTCTTCTACAAGCCATGCAATATATTGCCATTTGCGTCTTGGGTCAAGAACTACACCGATGAACAAAAACTGATTAAGTTTTGTTATGTCCCCCCAATACTTCTTGTATTTTGCTTGCATTTTAAGTGCCATGGACTTAATGGACTTATCAGAATGCATGGCAAACCCATCAATAACATTACCAATTCCAAAAATCTCATGTACATAAGCATTTGAAGTCACATAACGAGAACCAGAAAACCTTTTCGTAGCATCAAAAAAGATCTTCAAAAAAGGCAACAGACTATTAACAATAACCCAATCTTTATCGTTAATCAAACCACCCTCACACTTTCTTAGCTCTTTCGCACAATTGGAATCTTTTAGAAGCAAGTTTGAGAAAGCTTTTTTAAACTTCATGGCACTTTCAAGCATCAGAAATGTTGAGTTCCAACGTGTTTCAACATCCATAGAAACAAGACTCTTGCTTTCTATCTTTTCTTCTTCAACAGCGGCTTTGAACTTTTGAAGCCTAGCGGGAGATGACCTTACATATTTTACAAGAGTGCGGATTTTTTTAATAGACAAATTGACATCCAGCAGCTCATCTCTGACCACCAAGTTTAAGATGTGAGCCGCACATCTCATATGTAAAAAAGCCCCTTTCATAACACCACATTCCCAATGGTTAAGAACATTTTTCAAATGGTTAATAGCTACATAATTAGAGCTAGCATTGTCCACTGTTATAGTCAAGATATTTTTTAACCCCCACTCAATTAAACATTTTTCAACCGCCCTTCCAATCAGTACTCCGGTATGACCAACGATTAGACAAAAATTTATGATTCTCTTATGTAAATTCCAATCATCATCAATGAAATGAGCTGTCAAACACATGTAACTTAAATTTTGACCTGAAGTCCATGTATCTGTGGTTAGACATACTCGTGAAGACAGATTTTTAAAGACATTTACTAACTTTTTCCTTTCATCAATAAAAAAACTGTAACAATCTCTAGTTGTGGTGGGACGTGAAGGAACAACAAAATGTGGATTGATAGCCTTGCAAAACTTACGGAAACCTTCACGCTCCACAAAAGAGAAAGGCAACTCATCAACTATCAACATGTATGAAAGTTCTTTCCTAATAACATCTTCATTAAACTCCCACAACTTAGGAATAATTAAAGTTTCAATCGAACCATCATCACTAACATGTGTTCGAGACTCTAGGTCAATGAGTTTTTGTTTCTTATCGATGTTAAAAGGACATTGTTTGCAATTACTAACATGATTTTTCAAAGGGGCAGTCCCACTCTTACTTGCACAACCGATATGTCTTTCACAATAAATGCACTCCGCAACATCAGGATCAAGTGTATCTCGAAAATGTTTCCACCATGGGGATCTTTTTCTCTTTGTAGGTATAGAGGGTGACTCACTTACATTGGGTGCACGAGGTGGTTTAGAAGCTTTTTTCTGCTTTGATTTGTTGTGTCTCTATTTAGTTTTCTCTTTGGTGTTTGTGTTTGTGCCCACTTCACTTTCAGACACAAACTCACAATCTGAGTTGCTTGCATCACCAACTATATTGTCCATAGAAACTACAAAATCTGAAAAATCTGTAAACAACACTGTAACAACAGTTGCTACTTTTGAGTTTTTGGTTATTAAACAAACTAATGAATAACCTAACCAAATAATGAATAACTGAAATAACGAATTAGAATAAGAAGTTGGATCGGTAGGCAATAGCTAACCTTAAGGAAGTGAAATACAGAAGAGTATTGTTGCTTGGAACAATGAATCTGAAGACTGAAGTCGCTAAGTGCTTATCGCAACTTGGTGTCAAACGAAGGTATCAATCGAAACTTGGAACCGGAAGCAATCAAAACCTGAAACTTGTTGTGAATTGAATCGCAAGTTCGCAACCCCTAAGAAGCTTGGAACGAGAAGCAATCAACTAAGGAAGTAAGGAGTAAGGGCAAGTGGTGAACTGAATTGGGTAAGGAGCTAGCGATACACTGATACTCGTTGAGAATACAATCAACGACTACCACCGCAAAGGTCTTCAGGCCTCCGGCTGGAAAGTCCACACAATCGAACGAATCAGAAACTGAGAAACATCAATTTGAACGGAGATGTCGGAGATTACCGCTACCGGAAACGACGCCACACTATTCAACACCGGTGTAATGGCGGTTGAGCGGTTGAGCCTTCGAATTTAGAACGCGAAGTATGAAGTATCGAATATCGACGATTTGAAGTTTGAAGTGGGTAGGGTTAGTGAATCTCGTGAATCGCTAAATTGTATTAAGAAGAAAAGGTGAGGGTTTTTGTTTTATTCTAATTTCTAAGTAAAAGGATAAAAATAAAATAATAAAATATTAAAATTGAGGGATTTTTATTTCGGATATCGGATATCCGAATTATCCGAAAATTCTGAAAATCACTATCCAATTCCGATTCCGAAAAATCCGATATCTGATTTTTCGGGTAATTCGGATTCAGAATTTCGGAATTTCGGATCGGAATTTCGGATACGGATACTTTTGAACACCCCTAACTTTAAGCACATTAGTTTCATTCATTTAGTTACAAAAACAAAATTATATCCTTTATATCGATTTTTTAATGTGTTCACCTATGTTTGTTTACGAGTATGTGTATAATCAACGTTATATCATTTGTTTGCAACATTCCTGAAACTTGTGTAATCGATGTTCTTAATATGTGAGGGTTATCAAATGCAATCATGAATCAAATACAATGGTATATATCAATGAATGGAACTGGTATATTTCTATACACCATATAAAAAAATACTCATCTACATTGAATTTTATTTGCATGATGAATGAGGTCAGACCAACATCTATGTATATATTCTATTTACCTGAAATACCCCTACCCCTACCACTGATGCCCCCCTTCTACTCCTTGATATGTTTTCTGATGAGCATCAACAAAAACTATTTATTCTTACTTTATTGTCAAGTTTGCATTATGAGGTTTTTTAAAAGTATATATATAACATCACTCATATTTGGATGATAAGAATTTTATTTTATTTTTATAATTTTGATTTTGATTACATACAAAAGACCTTCTACATTATATGTTTTAGACTAAATTACATTCGGCGTCCTTGAGTTATGTCAAAAGTTATAAATTTCGTCCCTAAAACTATATTTTCACTCCGATCCTATGATTTTGAATTGTTCTTGTTTTGCCTATTTTACCCGGTCCATATTAATTACTTGGTTGGGTCACATGTGTTTAACAATCATTAGTTTTTTCACAAACAGAAACATGGCTCAAAGCAACATTACCTTCATAGACCAACTTGATGTTTCAAAAAGTCAATTTACCATGAGAGTAAGAATAACCCGTCTCATGAAACATCTTGCTTATGGATCTTCAACAAAGACTTACAAAACTAATATGATTCTCATTGATGAACAGGTAATAACATTTTTTTTATGAATTTTCTTACAATTTCATTCGAACCACATATAACAATATATAAACTGATTTTTTTGTGCATTTAGGGAAGGAAGATCGAGACAGGGGTTACTAATAGATAGGTTAAAAGATTTTAAAGTTTGTTTCATGAGGATGGTTGTTACTATATCCAAAATCCACAACTTGGTATTAATCAAAACGAAAATAGTTTTGTTGATAATGAAAACAAAATCAATATTTATATCACAACCAAATTTACACCATGCAGTCAGTGGACTGGATTACTTTATGGATTCTATTTTGCAAACTTCAACGCCATTTTGGATGGTGTTTTTAATGAGAACACACCTGTTGGTTACTTTATATGTTACAATCTAACGATCTATATATCGATATTTTGTTATTTACCATCACTCACCATAACGAAACTTTTATACTAATCTTCCATTTTTTTATCTTATATAATAGATGTTATTGGAGATGTTGTGACATGCTTCCCAATGGAAACCCTTATGAACAAGAAAAATAAAATTATCAAAGAGAGTCAATTTGAGCTTGGAATATCTAGAGTATGTTTACTTTTCGAAATTTTGTGTCAAATTTTACTTTATAATGTCATTTTATATTGTATATTTATTATGTTTTTGGCTTTTGTAGAAGCAAACAAATAAATGTAACACTATGGGATGGGTATACACAACAATTTGCTGACTATTTGGAAAATAAGAAACTCGTATGATAGTTGTTATTCAATTTGGAAAAAATATCTTATTATAGAGGTTTGTTCATACTATGATTAACAACTTACACTTTAAAAAAATTCAAAATATTATTATTCCGTTTACTATAAATGAATATACATTTATACCAACTTTATTATGCATCGTTTCATAACGTTTCTCCGTCACAAATTGCTTCACTACGACTAGGATCTTCATCAATGATCCTATTTTAAAGCAACAAAAATAACATCTTCTTTATTGTTAAGATTTCTTGTCAAATCCAGTCCAGAAATCACATCTGCTAATTGTAGAAACGCTTCGTCCTCCATCCTCTACTCTGCAAATAACGATTTTTCTTCATAAGTTTGATCTCCAACAAGTAGATGGGGTTTATATACTTAACTTTTCATTTATGAAATATACATTATGTCAAATAGTTTTTGGATTATTTTTACCCTCATATTTCATTTTACCTTTTTATTATATAATTTAAACTTACATCAATATTTCTCAGAAAAAAACATTGATTGTTGTCGGTACGATTAACTATGTGTGTACTCTATAGTTATTTTGTGTCACAACAATAGGGCAGAAAGAGGTGTTAATGATCATTAAAGATAAAAATGTAAGATATAATTTAAGAATATTATATAAAGTGTAAATTGTAGATTTGTGATATTTATTTCTATGAAAAATATGTTGTTTGATTGCTAGGTTACATATCTGAGTTTTTTTTTTTTTTTTTTTTTTTTTTTTTTTGTGATTTGATTTTGACAAGTTTGATCTAAATTTTATAATTAAAGTAGGTAGGAAAGATATGTGCTAACGATTTTGAATTTGTATTGGCCTCCAGAAACCAACTGTAGTCTCACAGACCATTCCCTCATATCTCAGTAGGTCTTAGCATTTCCCAAATTCAGCTACAAGAAGTCAAGTATGCACTTCTTGAATCAATCCTCTAAATTGAATTTCATTTGTTAGTTGGATGCAGTGACCAAAATGCAAGATTTGTGAAAGTTCATTATTATTTATTAGTGTTAACATTTGGCAAATTATGAAACTAATGATATATTTTTGTTCATAACATGTTTTTTTTTTTGTTTTTTTGTTTTTTGTAATAATTTCTTTGATCGAAAGATATGTATATGTGATAGGGTGTAGCCTGAAAAATCATATTTTAATTCTTATAAGGAAAAAATACTTTAGAAATTGATCAAATTAGAATGTCTGAATTTGATGTTTATGGTTATAGCAATGCACTTTAATTATAATGTTTATCAAATTTCTTTGTAAAATTTAACGTTGCTGGTACATATAACAACTTATTGTTGCTTTTGGTTTTACATGACCAATATGAAAAGAGTCATATGAGCCTCCATAGAGGTTGGTACACCGAAAAAAATCAATTCATAAAGCTACTATACAACATGTTTTAATCAATGAGTCGCATCATGTTGAGATAAAACAAAGACCATGTGGATCATTTATATTAAAAATTATTGTATTAAAAAATCAAATTGCTCTAATATAAATATTAAATATTTTTATTTAACAAGTTTGGTTCAAAAACTCTAAAATGAATCTAACATTTTTTATTAAAATTTCACCTAAGACAATACCACCTATTAGTATGATATGTATTTAATTCATTTTCCCCGCGTTTAACGCGGGTCATAATCTAGATTGGTTTTAAAACAATGATATTATTGAATTGAAATACACTCCTTTTCCATATTAAAAATGCGACAACAAAAAAATTTAGCAACAAGCACCTTGGACTCCCACCTTTAAATATTGGACAATATAAATTAAAGGATTAAAATCACATTTGGTCATTTGATATAGTGGTCGTTTGATCTAGTCAATAAATTTGTCATTATTAATTTTTATAAAAGTGATTATTATGATCAACAAAAAAAATTATATAAGGTGATTGAACTT